AATACACTTCTTCCCGCTTTCTTGCGCGTCCACGAAAATTGAAGCGAAAGAAGGACCCTTTGAAAATCAGCTAGAGCGCTTAATTTTTTCTCTTTTTCTTTATATTTTTGATTATTTTTGTACTCAGCATCTGTTTTTTCGTTTTTCAGGAGGACGTAGATTGTTGCAGACGAGCGAGCTCGAGCAGTTTGGGAATGACAGTTACAATTGCACGCCGCCAGCGATCAAAGAATTCCCGCCCGATGGTCTCACGCGGCAGCAAAGACAGGCAGGATTCATAATAATCCACTTCGTCATCGCTATTTATCTGTTTTTATTACTTGCCATTGTCTGCGACGACTATTTCGTTCCCTCTATTAAGAAAATTTGCGAGAGTGAGTACAAAAGGATCGTTCGGAATCCGCCGTTTTCTCCGTGACCTTAATATGACCTCACTGCGGCTCCTCTCTCGCTCTTTCGTTTCGCTGCGACGAGTGTAAGACGTGTGCGGTCTGGTGTATTATGTCGGATATTTATTACGTTTATCGTCTCGCATTTTTATTTTTTTCTTACATGTATGCAAGTGTATGTGTGAATGCGTAAATAAAACGGAGGGAAATGTTTCTCACGGCAGAACTCAATGTCACCGAGGATGTGGCCGGCGCGACCGTAATGGCGGCTGCGAGCTCGAGCCCGGAATTGTTCATCAATGTCATTGGCACTTTCGTGACGGAGGGTGACTTGGGGGTCGGTACCATTGTCGGTTCCGCGGTGTTCAACATACTGGCCGTGCCCGCGTGCTGCGCACTCTTCGCGAACGAGGTAAAATTCACAAGCTTTTAATTAAATTCTCAAGCTTTCTCGTAACACTCCACGACTCTTGTGCTTCTTATCACAAATGATTGATTATCGTATCTATAGGTGCTGAACTTGGAGTGGTGGCCCGTGTCTCGTGATACGCTGGCGTATGCCTTCACGGTTCTTCTCCTGATTCTGACTCTGCGAGATGGACGCATCGAGTGGTACGAGGCGCTCATCCTCGTAGCTTGTTACATCTTATACATATCAGGTGATACGACTGTGAATTAAGCGAATTGAGTCACTTCGTATAATAAAAAATTATTTTACCCGCTAGAGCAATAGGCCTGTTTCTTTTTCAGTTAATCTTTTTGCATCATCCATATTAAAGAGAAAAAGAGGAAAGATAACAATGCAAAAAAATTAACTGAAAAGATAGGTCTGATATGTATTATAGGTTGGATAAGTTAATATTATTTTTTAACTAAATTAAGCTAAAATTAATGGCTTATAAAATCATCAAGTAAATTTAATATTTTATTTGTAAATTAAATTTTTTTGATATGAAATAACAAAGAAATATTGTGTTTTTTGTATAAAAATGTGCTTTTTTTACAATTTTTTTTCTACGTACATAAATTTTCAATTTAGAAAAAAAGTTAATAAGTTAAAAAATTAATAATAAATTTATGTGTTTTAAAAATAATTAGTTGAAGTTATACAGTTAATTCATTTAAAATTGTTATTTTTTAACTAGTTACAACCTAATCCTGATATTTTTTTTATTTAAAAAATAATTATATATATTTAATTGAAAATAATTTAAAGCGAAAAATTTAAATTGATATTAGCTAGAATTATTGGTCAAATAATTATAATAAAGCATAATACGATT